TTCACAACAACATAATAAATACAATTGTACAACTAACATACCCCATGACATGACGTGATAAATATACATCTTGTCGCTGATGTTATAAACTTTCACAACAAGAAGGTAAAGATAAATTCCCTCTACCAGCATCCAACAGAAAGCGGCCATCAGGAAATACTGCATAAGAACTGCTGATGTAATACACGCTGTCTGCAAAAGAAAGGAGAGGAAAGACCAGAAAATTCATTTTTTCTTGGTTTCAAGTTTCGTTCAAGAATGACTTCTTTGAAGGAATTCCACCAATAATATATAGCCACTCACCATTTTTTCTGTGGCGTTTATTCCAGAGAGAAAGATGATTTGTCCAGCTCCGAGGGACACACAAAGACTAAGTCGTATTTGAGGTAGTGGTTGTCGAACATCTCTAGTAAAAGTGAATATCATGTTTATGTACAGTGCATAAACAGAAGCAAAACAAAGCCAGGGAGCAAGCTCGAGGAACCAATAGAAAAGAGGAAGAAAATCAATAGAAACTTAATACCAAAGCTATTTCGAAAACGTTCCCTGGTTGTTTCGAGAGATTGAAGGAAGATGTATTTGAACACTCTGTGATAGTGCTGTGCTCAACATCTGTTGCGCGCATTTGATTCTAAAAATTAGCACGGTTGCGTTTTACTTCACTCGCTTAGAGTGATCTAATCTATTTATGCACGTACTGGCCTGATTTTTACATCGTGAAAGTCATGCAAGAAAGCGCAACACTGATTGTTTGGAAGCAGTATACTTACGTGAGAAAAGAATACAGCGTTATGGTCAAAAGTATTCCGACGATGGAAAGGCTTAATCCGACGTATGTGATTATCTCTAAAATAGTAACGTCCTTCTCGGAGAGCTGTGGCAAAAGTGAAAATGGACAATAGATTTTTTCGCGGAGCCTGACACTTATTTATTGAAAGTAAAGTACCTTAAAAAGAAAAAAAATACCTCCGCGTCGCCTCTGAAGTCAACTAAGACAGCAAAATGCGTCAAATGATTGCATCTGCAGACTGTGTCCTTTGAGTTGCTCCTCAATGGATCTACGTAACAACCATCCCCTGAGAATCCGTCGAAACTAAAAAAATGAATATTGCAAATAAGAATAATGATTTTGAATTTAAAAAAAAAATCAAATCCTGCTCTTAAAAGTAAAACCTTCCGCATATAGTTCTTTTCTTTTCTGGCGTATCATACCGCTGCACTTCCATGGAGAACGACCACAATCACATGATACTCCTAAACAAATGTATCCATACAGGGGAAAAACTGTTCAAGGTAAAACAAAACCTTTATCTGTACAGCAGCTGTTGTACTTTCCTTTTAAAAAAGCTGTCCCCATAATTTTCTCTGTTTAACACCTTTTAGGTCCCGAGAGGTTATTGTCAGACTCTCCTTTTTATTATCGAAAATATCAGTAATCATTGCTATAAATATATCCTGAGACACCGGACTACCACACCCCGAATAACCGTTTAGCTGATGCTTTTCAAATTGTCTAAATCATTACAAATAAAACTTAAGGTTCATAATTTCTCAGTTTTTACCTCTTGCCTAAGCCATTCCAAAACATGCACTGCTTCTCTCCTTCATCGACCTAAAAAGGGATTGTATTTCTGTTGATTTAAGTCAACCCAACAAAAACGGACTGAAATGCACATTTAGTGTTCTTGCTGTTACCTTCAGGTTTCTGAACTTTAAGATGACGTCCTGTCGTAATTTTTCAGGTTTGGGATCTACAGCCGCGGTCATTATCCTTGTGTTCACATACCTGTAGAGACCATTTTGTGCTAATAACCACCTAGATTTTAACAAAGCAAACATCGAATTTTGGATGCACTTGGTAGGTCTAGGGAAAATAGCTATCAAAGTCACCTTGAATTTTCAGTTTTATCCCCGCCGCCCTGATTGGTTTGTAATAATTCATGAAGATCCTTGTATACGCACCCTATTACCACTGATCCTGATAAATAAACACCAAAACACAAAAACATTATAAAGCAAAAGAAAATAATTCATATTCTAGAACGTTAAGTCTTATTAAGAGCCTCTACCACTATTTGGTTGCCGCGTTGTTAGGTTGCATGCAAAAATTAATTTCATCGAGAGTTCTCGTATTTCACACATTAAGAAAGGCAGATCAAAGTAACAGAAGGATTCCTGACAGTTTAAAGTTAGAACAAACCATTCTCCGCAAAATTTTCAGAAGGAACATTGATGCTTGCGTGCCATTCATTTTCTTCGAGATAGAAGTCGGTCGCATTCTGGCGGTAACCTTTCCACATACCCAAAACTGTTGCAAGAAGGAGAAAAGTAGATGTCAAATGGTTGCATATTTTAAGGTACAATAATATGTTTCATATATGCTAACGTTTATTGTGGAATCTTGAATATACCCATCAACAAAACGAGTCGTTCTATTTTAATTGGCCCGTTAAAAAAATCGCTATTTTGCAGAGATCGTCAAAGTATACGAAAGATCAAGATCGAAATATTTCAAACTATTGAACAGCACAAAATGATACACGCTAGGACGCGTCACTTTTCAAAAATTAGATTTGCAGTGCGTCTCGTCGGCCAGCATGATAATATCAAAACATAAGGCAAGAAACCGATGAGTAATTTGCAATGGCCCCTATTCTACCCAAAGACGCCTCTTCACAGCTGTGTGAGAAGGAAAGAAAGTTCCAGATGACTGGAAAGAGGAGGTTACTGTGAAGATCCTAAGGAAATGTATCCTGACGGATTGAAGCAAATGGTAGGGAATTACCTTCTTATCATTTTCAAGCAAAATCATTAAGGGTAAGATCATCATCAAGCGAATATCAGATGCAGTGGATCCAGAGCTTAGAAAGGAACAACCAGGGTTCAGGAAGAAAAGGGGATGAACCGACCAGATCTTCGCTTTAAGAAACATCATGGAGCAATGCATTGATTGACAGAGACAGCTACGCATGAAATTTGTGGACTTGGTACATATTATACATGTCCGGAATCCCGCAGCAAAATTAATGAGTCCGTCTCATTAAGAGCTTCTACGACAATGGAATGAGGCGAGAGTATCTGCATAAGAATACCTTTTTGATGATGACCTGGTGCTGCTATCTCACGCCCATCAGCATGGGTAAGAGAATACAATCAATCTCTTTGGCCTCGTTGAACAGATCGGCCCGAAGATCAACAAAAAGAAGACGGAGGTAATGACAGTGAACGGAAATCAGAGCAAACGGAAAGGATCTTTCAACAACGGATAAATTTACATACCTGGCCAGTACAGACAGACGTGAGAGAAAAGAACACAAGGACATTAAAAAACCGCTTAGGCATGGCCAGTAATGCTTTCAGAATACTCAAGAATACTCTGAGGTTCCAGCAGTACAGAATCAAGACCAAGGTAAATTTATATCAGAGCTGTATCCTACCCTCCGGTATTATAATGCCCTGAATGCTGAAGAATTACAGAAGGTAATTTTTCCAAACTGTCTGTCCTGCACGCAAATAGCTTAAAAGTAATGAAGATGATAGTGTTTTGGCCAAACACTATCATAAGCGACCAAATACTAGGTCAGTGCCAACAAGACTATATGAGAACCATCCTCCACTGAAGGCGGTGGCGATAAAACGGATTTGTGGCGAGGAAGGAACCGAACTGCATCACACGTGTAGACACCTGAAGGGATGGTGATGCCTTAGATGTCATCCGGCATAATGGGCAGTAACCAACTAACTAACTAATGCCCTTTTACAATTGATAAAAGTTAGTTGATACTTCAAGCCAGGTAGTAGCTGAACTATTAAATCAGTTGGTCTGCAACTTATTAAGAAATTATCTCTAATAATTTGAAGAAATGTCATGTCTTACTCACCCATTTTCTGGCGTGTTATTTTTTTCAAGGGCTCTGCTCTATTTAGGTGATATTGACTATAATCAAGAACAAATTTTTCGAGGGCAACTGCCACCTTAAAGACGGATTCTTTTCCTCGTTGGAGCTCTTCTATACCAAGTTGGCTACCATGGGACTTTGTGATGTTCTGATATTGATCGGCGAAGTCTTCAAACAAACGTATGACCTCCTGTAATTGCAAATGTGTCAACACTGTAAGCTTGAATTTACGCATCAGTATAATCAGACAAGACGGCCAGGTCTTCTGATTTACTACTATTTTTTGTTAGATTTATGGTTTTATTACTTCTCCTTCAGAAAAACAAACCTGATTTTTAAACGAAATCGATAAAAGGACAATTCACCGGGCTTACGATCTGTGCACCGGGGCAAATATAGGCTAATAACAGCTGATAGGCCATTTTTTAATTACCATTGGCCTCTTTTCAAAACGAGAGCTACTGCCCAGTCATTAGCGTAAAAATTAGATTAATTTGCATGTCAACGAAAACTTAAAAAAGAGGCCAAAAAGTAATTCGGAAATGGGCAATAGGTTAGCGATTCCGTGACTAAGTTTGGTAAGTGGTGTTTGGCGGCCGGCAGTTGGCATGACTACTTTATAGATTGTTGTTTCGTTGAAATTTTTTTGGCCTAGTTGTCAAAAGGGTGCGCTGGGAAAGCGTTCCCACTGATATGTACTCTAAAAGTCTGATTTATATACTTTCTATCGACTTTATAAGATAATGAGTGCGTAAAAATTTTCATGAGCACTTAGAATGAATGGCGATAATATATGACAATCTTTGATACAGTCAAATTACTTCGCAGTTTATCATTTAAGCAGCAGTAGCAACTTCAAATGTAACATATTTTAATTTGCATAATATAGCGAGCAGGCTCGAACTAATTTCCAAACCGACCATATTATTACCGTATATGGTCATGGTTATGTGCTCTTTGACCGTATCCTAGATGCTGATGTATTGTGAACAGTATCGAGCTCACTCAAAAGTTTTATTTTTTTCTTAAAAAAACTCGCTTATAAACATATGTCCATGCTTTAAATCAGCTATTCCTGGATGTTTCATCAATATGAATAGATAAGTATTTAGTGCATGTAAATTTAGATACCTGCAGGGAGCTGTTTCTGCTGATGTTGACTCCATTACGCTTCGAAGTAAATACATTTTCCTAAGGTGAGAAAAGTCAATCACGTTGGCAAATGAGAAAGATGATAAACACGGCAAACACAAGGATTAAAAAAACTGCAACACGTACCAAATTCTTAATTGTTTCGAGAGGGGTTGACGGAGATGTCCAAATTAAAGATGACGATGACGAAGATGGCGACGCTGATGTATATGATGAGGATGATGACGAAGACGTTGGTAATGACGGTAACGTTAATAATATAGATGGCTGAAAGGAGAACGGTGATGATGATGGTGTTGAGCGTAGCAGTAATGGGGACGAAGGTGACGATTGCGAAGAAGCTGTATGTCAAAGTTGATCCAAACAATAAAATTAAACTCAAATTCATGTTGAAAAGCTCTAGAGCTCTAATTTTCTGATGCTCTGATGCTCTAAGCTCTAATTAATGAACTGGAGCGTAATAGAGAGAGAGTAAAAGATATATAACCAAAACTGTTGACACCTTTTATGATTTTTTTCTTTTCGATTCTGAATCCACAACAAAGATCAAAGATGTAGATAGCAGCTATATAAATATTTCAGTCTATAAAATCAAAGGAGAATTATCTTATGAAATCATAAATCCATTTCTGTTACACTTATCTAAACTCTGCGGATTCAAGGCAGCAGGACTTGATGCTATCTCGGCCAGGCTACTCAGAGAATAACCTGTTCTGATCGCCGAGACACGTAGTCGAAATTTCAACCAATCAGTATCAACGGGACCTTTTCCTGATAGGTGAAAGAATACTAGCATCACTCCATTCTTTAAAACTTGCGGAAAGAAAGCTAATCCATGCATTTACCAACCATTTTCAATTATTCCTGTTGTCACAAAGGCTTTAAAACGCATGATTTGTAATCAACTGTATAATTAGCTCATCGTTCATAACCTCTTATCGAGCCAATAGTCTAGTTTCCGTTCGCTTATTCGACAGTTACAGCATTGCTTAAAGCGACCGATAGTTGGTCACTTAACATCCATCATGCACTTGTCAATGCTGTTATTCCCCTTGATCTCAGAAGGCATTTGATACTGAGGACTACAATATGTTATTACCTAAATAAAAAACCTGTATAGTAATTGGAATGAATCATCCTAGAGTTTATCTGATTGTAGTGTTAGACAGAGGACCATTTTAGGCCACAACCAAGAATGTAAGCTAATGATACCAGCATTACTTTTGCAAATAATCATTTACAAGAATGAAACTAATGCATCAATTCACTTAGATATAAAATTCCATCGTTGCTTGCAGCCAGTAACCTTAAGTTGAATTTGAAGAAAGCAGAATTTCTATTAAATGGGTTTAAACAAAGATTGTCTTATTTACCCGAAAGTCTCGAGGTAGAAGTAAACAAAATCCCTGTTAAAGGAATCTCCACAACGAAATATCTCGATATATATTATGATGAAAATCTACGTTGGTAATTTCATATCAAAGAAATTTCCAGAAATATTTCCTCCTATAAAATTGCCATAAGATGCACAAGAGATTTTGTTCCTCGAGACATTCTTTTGACTTTTCACGAATCATTAGTTCGGCTTCGTTTCGACAACTGTAGTAAGGTGCATGTATGGGAATGTGGCTCAAAGGGACTCTCGTAAGAATTGAAAAACAGCAGAACCATGCATCACGTATCATGGCCTTCTGTGATAGAAATACTGGTGAAATTATGAACGGGTCGTGAGTAAAGCCCTTTGATAATGTACGGAATCGCGAACAATCAAATTCAAAATACTTTGTTACCTGTATGGAAACATTGTATAAAAAAAAAAAAATCATCACCACGTATATTAACTGTAATGACACACAAGGAATTTAGGTTAACGGCAATCAAGACAGTAATATGTCATGCATGGGTCTTTGATGTTTATTCATAGAAAATAAATTGAATGATTTTTTTTTACTTACTTTGTACTGTTGAAATATGGGTTGAAATAGCTTGAACCGTCGAAGCCAAGACAGCTGCGGTGACATCCGATTTGTTTAAAGTCATGCAGTCGCGATTTAAACATTCGGGGCACGTACATTGCTCTCTTCCTTGACAGGTTGTTTCAAAGGATCCCAGACTTTCATTCATCAAAATACGTTGACAACATGGACCATGTCCGGATTTGCATATTTGCTTTGTATAATAATTTGATGACCCATTTCTTATCATATCACATGTATGAGCGTCGCAAGTTTGTGTACAAGAGCTCCCCATACATTGCATAATACATCGTTGTGCTCCACTGTTGCAATTCTGATTGCATTCTTCCCCGCTGCATTTCAGATTACATGTTTGCACTCCCCCGTTGCATGCTTGATGACCGTGACCCGAAGTTAATGAGTGACTTCTCTTTAAGATACATTTACGAGCGTTGCACGCTTGATTACAGGTTTGACCGGTGCATTCCATTTGACATATTCGCACTCTACGACTGCAAGACTGCTTACACTCTCTCTTGGTGCAATTTAGAAAACATATTCGAGAATTACATTTTTGATCACAATGATCTACGCTACAGTCCAGTTTACAAGTGTAATTACCAACGTTGCAATTCTGCTCACAGGTAGTGTTTTGCTCATTACATTTCAGCGTACACGGGTCGTTCTTACCGTTGCAAACATCATCTACAAACCCAAAACCTGAATGATGACAATGGAAAGAAGAAAAGTTTCACAGGAATGAAAATTCTTTAAATAAATCCAATGTGATATGCAACTCTCGAATACATCGGGCACCGAGTACTTATTGACAGTTCCGCTACAGCAAATCACACAAGTTATAAGCACATGTTAACATTCACCTGTTTCATTCACAAGTATTTTACAAAAACGGAACTGATTGACTTTTTCAAATTGGCGATAAAAAAAATTTATAGATTACAAAGAACGATTTCTTCAGCATCAAACAGTCCGTTTTACTCTTTTATTAGGACAAGCTTTAAAAATTGTTTTAATATTTTTAGTTTTCTGGTATTGACTTATCTACTTTCGACAGGTGGCCTTTTGTCACAGTCGGATATGACGCATTGTCACCATGCACAGAAATAAATGCCATTTTCAAGGCTAGGCCTACTCTGAGACCTTAAGTCGCGGCAACTTTAGGCGACTTTGGGTGATTTGAGGCGATTTAAGGCGACTTAAGCAAAATTGGCACAAATACCATTTTCAGCGCTCTTTGCACATATAAGTGGCCATGGCCCTTGCAAAGTCTAATCTAGTAAGTTCGGCCATTGCAAAGTGAAAGGAGAACTTTTTGCAAACCATCCAGTTAGTTATTCCAGATTCCCTATATCTATAAATCGAAATATCAGGCGTAAACTTTATCATCTAATCATGCAAAAGAGCCATTCACATCGATACAATGGACCCTATGTTAAATTGGAATTTAAGCCTGTGCCTTAATAATGGTATAGTGCTCTGGTTCCCCGAAGAACTCTTCCTTAAAATAATTGTCTTGTTTTGCTACAGGAAGCTGGTCTGTACAGCTCTAATACATGGCAAACTATTTTAAAACACTCTTGGCTCAATCAGTCTCTGCCTCCCCTTATCACCATGCTACTTTGCAGAAGTTAATGTCTTAAAAGGAGCATGGATACTCACTCAGCATACTTGTCAGCAGCAGCGCAGTCGCCCATATTTGACAAGTTTTTGATATCATGCCTCGTCTTTGGGAATTACGTTTGTGTCAGTATCACTGTTCGAAGAATATATATTATTTTTCCAATTTGTATAATTATACTCCAGATTCGAGCAAAGTTTCCTTTCACAGTCTTTTTTAGAGACTGGATGAAATTATCTTCTCGTGATTATTTTACCTTATCTCAAAACCGAACACCGTTCGTTATTTTGTGCTTGAGCCAGCTGTTGGTTGTCATATTTTGTAGAAATTTTACTCTCATGCTAATTATTAAATCCATGTCTTTCTGCTGCAATTTAATCATAAAAGGGTTTTGGCACCTGTTTAAAACTTAAGTAAAACAAATACATAAAGTAAAAAATTAGCATTTTAAGAAAATTTTCGTTCGAATTGACATAACTATTCATTAGAATGACATGCGTTGAGCAATAACAGGGCGAAAAACAGCTTATATGATTTTTTTTGATGACAATAATACTACTACTAATAATAATAATAATAACATAGTTTAGCTCCAGTAGATGGCGATTGTAAGTATTCATCTTCATTTCCCTATTAATCACTGACCACAGGGAGTGTTTGTTTTTTTAGCCAGTTAACAATTATTAGATCCATTTAGAGCGCTATAGCCACCGCTTGAAATGAGTCTCTAATGTATCTATTTTTTTCCCGTTCTTTTCGCAAGTGGTCCTCCCCACTGGCCCTGAGTGGTGATATCGTGTTTTCGATGATACATAAATTTACATTTTCCTCTGTTCTAAATGTGAGCATGATAGTTCCACATGTTGCTTTTGTTAGTTGAGGGTTCCTTATCCTTATACATAAATACAAATTTTTCGGTGGAGAAGTCGAGCGGAATCCTCATATGTGGTAGGCATGAATTGAATTTTTGCGGTGGGCGAATTCTTTGTAATTTGTGGAAGTACATTACTAAACAAAACACAGAATGTGAAAGGCGTCTCTCAAGTTCAGCCCGGTTCGTTTCCTTCCTATGAACAGCCAAGGACGCCGTGACCAAGGAGCTACAATGTTATGTTACTGAACTCCCTTTAGATAATTTCATGATGGATTGATTGTGTGAGTCTAACAGCAGGCAATATATGGAGATACGAGGAAATTTGATTCATCAACTGAGTTGATAATATAATTTTGGCCGCTGTAAACAGTTTCTAAAGCTGACTCGAGTATGAGTTCTTCGTCATATTTCTCAAAATATATGAATTAGTAAATAACTAATAATAAGAAAGCTCTGTTATCCTCTTTCATGAAATTGTCTCATAGTGGTATTCTAATTAGCGCATTTATTTATTTTTTAGCACAATACCTGTATTAATCAAATTCTTCATATACGCAACGTTTTTCAGAATTTCATACTCGGAATTTATGAATCCAAATGAACTAATGAATCAGGAATACTAGCTATTGACAATCATGATATAGGAAGACAATGATGATTCAACTGAAACGTTTGGTGGGTGGGATAACATACAACTGAGACCAGTTGTTTTATGGATCTATCAACAATTTCAAAATTTCAAATGAAAGGTCCTACAAAGGGATGATTTAGCGCTTTGCGCCCATGCCTTAAAGCCCAGTATAGTCTGAAAATCACGAAGTAGAGGATAAAGCATCGGAGGAATTGAAGAAATATATAATTTAAGGAAAGATGTTGGTTTGATTTGTTGTTTTCGTATTTCAGTTCAGTTAATACTGTTTTAAATGTTCTTCGATCTGATTGCGCAACACTGTGGTCATGAATCTTCCGTCTATGGCGAGATGCTCAAGCGACATGTCTTTAAAGTAATTAAAACTTCCGTCAAATCCGCTCCAGTATCTTCAGGCTTACAACGGCGACATCAGATGCCAAAGCTTTAATTACGACATGCGAACTGGATAACAGCATCTGGGAAGCGAGACCTGAAGATTTCGTTTTTAACATTTTTAGATGTTACGATTATATTTTACTATTATAGATATTACGGTTGAATGTTCACTGTTTCAAGCAGCGGTGACTTTTTTGCGACATGTTGCCGAGTTATCTGAAGATTGAAAAATACCCGTAACTGCCTTTTGCTGGTGGTATCCATGAGTGCACAAGGATTTGTCAACAAGTGTAAATGCAGTTGGATCCTACTACTGAGTTTGTAGCCATAGTTATATGGGAAAGGGAAGACTATAACATAGCTATTCCTAAAAGTGAGATCATATAATCATCGATAAGTATTCTTCAAAAATCAGCATTCCTTTAAATGCCTGCATCTCCACTCTGCTCCTCCATTTAGGTCTTTTCTACATTTTTTCCACCCGCTAAAAATGGCAAAATAACGAAATTAGACCAACACAGGATAAAAGTAGCTTATATTCAAATCAATTTACGCTGGATTATTACATAGAATGTCGAACTTATCAGTACAAACGACCAAAACCAGGAAAACCACCTACGTCACTGGAATCAAATACTGTTCTAACCGCTTCCTGCGTGCTTTACGACAGAACACAGCACAGTCAAGGCTATTTTTTAAGCAGTAGTTGTTGTCGACGGGAGTGACCAACTGTCTAGAAAGCTATACCGTGAGAGACAGCTACAATGGAAGGTTGCTCATTTTAAGAAACGTTGGAGGAAACAGTGAGTTCGGCTCAGTGGTGAGATAAGATATAGACTGTGGTGGGCTGAAGTAAGTTTATCAAGCATAAGTATTGTACTGTCTTTAGGAGTAGCTCATTAAGAATATCACTCGTTGTTTGATAAAGTGGTAGAGTTGGTTAAGATTGTAGTGTTTTTCTGTCGGTCAGATTATACCGTAACAAGAGAAAAAAACAACGAGAAAGGGGACATAAGATTGAGAAAGAACGCAAACTCCTCTCTTGCCTGAGTTATCAACATTCACAGGAAAGGTCCATCATTTGCATGTAAACAAAAAGGGTAAGATGAATAGATAGATAAATATTAAAAGTGTGAGTTACAAAAAACATACAAAATCTATGTACATGCAATACATCTGTGAATCTGTTGGAAGATACACTGAGATCATGGTTTATGTTTCAGAATTGGTGTAAGGGTGTTCATAAATCTACAATTCTTTGCTCTGTGGGTGGGGAGGGCGGGATGTAAAAAGACTCGAGTTCGTCGAAGGTTATATGGTGGATGGTGAGGTGTGCCTTGCCGTTAGAAGATGTCCAAAGTTATGATTGAGTGTCGTAACTCCCACTAAGCCTTAACCAAAATTTCGCATCAGCTCTATCGAAATAGTACGTGATTGCTTTTAAAATAAAACACCATGAAAGCTACAGCTGCACCGCGAAAGCCAAGAGTAATGCATATCTTAATACTCCTCTGAATCAGAACCAAAGAATGGCTCAGTGAATGCGTGGTTCTGGCGTCTTTCCTATTATGTAGATTGAATACCAATTGTAAGGTGATTACATGTTCCTCGTGTTACACAGCTCCCAGCATTCGCTATATGCCATTATATGTCTTGACTCGTTAACCTGTTCATTATGAATATCGACCGTACAAGGTCCACAAGCAGTTTTTCCCAACAACATCAAGGCATTTTCAGTTAGGATTTCAGCGAAAGTAAATATATGTTATTCGCCAGCCGTGAGGTCGTATTGGTATTTAAGACAGAGGGCACAGTATATCCCTATACAGGCCGACAATTCTTGAGCGAGTAAATGGTATTTAAAAAAGAGGTAATGCAAATCAAATAGATAAAGGGATAAGTTCCTAAAGAAACTGTGGTGCTGCATCGGTGGGAGAGTATAGCAGGTAATTTAGTGTTAACAACCGTATGACTGAGTTGAAAACGTAAATTAACCACCGTAAAGGGTATAAAGCTGACGTTTCGAGCGTCAACCCTTCGTCAGTATCGCTCTGACGAAGGGCTAACGCTCGAAACGTCAGCTTTGTTACCCTTTATAGTGGCTAATTTACGTTTTCAACTCAGTTGTTAACACTAAATTACCTGCGAATCAAATAGAGATGCTTCACCAAAACAATTTCAATTCCGTAACAATAAAGGTGATTTAAAAGGCTTCTAAACAAACTTTGAAACATTATTTTTATAAGCATCTGTCTCAATCTGACAGCTGTCAATTTTGAAAGCGCGTAAGAAAAAAAAATAGCGCATGTACTCTTTTGAAAGAAATAATTGAACTAATTTTGGTGAGGACTGTCACGACGATGCTTTTTTGAAAAACAGTCAATGAGACACTTCAACTAGACACACGGGGATTTAATGCGGCTTTTTCTTATTGAACTCCTTCAGTTTCTGTTATGCAATTCATGGTACAGATGTCCAAATTGTAGTAGAACTGAAAATTTCGCTAAATCGTTCACTGCGAACAAATTGTTTGAGAGTTCCATCGATTGATTTAATGTAACCAAATACCTCACGTTTCTAGGTACTTTTCGTGAAGGGTTAAAATTAATTACAGACGGTTTTTAGGCCGCTTATTAACCAATTTAATGACACTTTTACTCAAACAAATTCATTTCGAAACATGTCAACCAAAGCGATTTGAGAGAGAGGGATTGAAGTTTCTTCTTTAAATCGGGAAATGTCAAGGGACCTACAGTAATTAATATTTGTTAAACATTTTTAATGTTTTTAATATTTTTGTAAATGATTTAGCGCATGTAATCACACAAAGTATTATCAATTATGAGGATGATACAAATATTCATTGTTCCTATGAGAACGTACACGCTGTGAAGACTACTTAAATAGTGATCTTGAGAACGCAACTGCATGGTTTATTCAAAATGGCAGTTAACGCTCTGTTTCCGACCCGATCGATCCCTTCCGTAAATCACACTTCCTGTGAGGAGTCTATTGTTTTCCCATCAACCAATCAGAAAAATTAAATTAATCCATTCTCCCAGAAGTCATTATTTGGCGATCATACCGCTGACAAGGAGCTAAAATGACCCTGGGCTCGAAATTGTAGCTCGAGCAATGTTCAGCGCTTTGTAACCACCCTATCTCCGAAATATGGTTGCGCGGGCTCAACAGCATCCGAATACCGTGCGCCAAATCCAAATAATTTTTTCAGAATTACCGTTGACTTTGTTTCAGTAGCCATCCTTTTTCATGCAAATGCAACATACTTTTAAAGCATTGCACCATCAAGAGTGCACTCTTGGGATCCGGAAACTGGGATGAGTAGTGAGAGGGGGGGGGGAAAAACTTGCTTCCGTTGTCAAATATTGAAAGATGGCTTAACTTGTGGAAGTTGCACCCACTTCCCTGCCTGTCCTCCCCATTCCGTAATAGTATCCAGTCACACGGAATTCAGCTCTAAATCATAGAAAAAGCAATGCGCAATAAGAGTCATAAGATAGTTGGCAAGAAGAGGCGACCTCATATCAAGGGTGTAACAGAAAACCGATGAGAGTAAAGGAGAAAATGTAAATTTCTAAAAAATTCTAGTTCATTAAAAGTTACTAATCAGCGAGACCTTTCCTCAGAAGAAAAGAAAAATTCTGAAGTTGTATGAAAAATATATCGAGCATTTTCCTGGACCGACCCTAAAAACTTTTTAACAGGATTTCCCTATGACATTTGTATAATAATAACGATTTCTCTGCGGCTATTTAAAACTTCAGTCCTTTGGTCAACATATGTGTAATATTGGTTCGACTACGAAGAGCGAAAGTTGGTTTCGAGCGCTTTGAATACAACTTTAGTCTTAAGGTGTTTCGGAAAACAGTTTCCAGACACTTTAATTACCTCAGGAGCCCATAACTTCTGTTACCTTTCATTAAATTTTAGACTTCAGATAAATTAATAAACTCAGAGATGATAATGAATTTATTGATAATAAACGTATTAAGGTAACATCAAGGCGAGATACTCTAGTGATTGTAGAAGAATCCAGCTTTTAACAAATGTTTTATGGGATGACAAATTATACCAGAAGCGTCAGTATCTGGGATCAAGAACCTTCCTTTCTAATTAAATACACTACCTGGTCCTTTGACAGTTCTTATTAATTATTAATCGAATGAGATTTCATACCCACCATCATTAGAACTCTTATAATATATATAACATGTAACAGTTCGTCACCGACGTAAAGAGATTGGCAATATACACCAGCTTATACAACGATGGTATTCACGATCACGATAAGGAGTGGGCCACGGTAAGTCGTAAAGTACATTGTTCACAAGAATCTCTCTATGACGTGTATCATTTTGTGAAGTTATTAGACTCAGATTTAGTCCGTGCCACAGTAGCGGGAAGAACAAATAGGGGGCTGAGCAAGTTTGTAAATAAAAAATGATCCACAATTTTTAACTAAAATGTTAATTAAAGATTTGCAACCTGTAGAACGATCGCTAAAGCAGACCCTCCTGGAAACTTCATCATCATCCACTGTAGGATGAGCACCATCCAACCAGCCTGACCAGTCTGCACCACATCTGTATGCTGGCACACGCGTTGTTGGCATTTTAGTTCCTACAGCTCCCACAAAACGATACCATCCCACAAGGAGTTGGTCGTCACAAAATACTGGATCAACGAGCGGTGTATTGTAACTGCTTTTTCTGTTGGCACCACTTGGGTTGTGGTAATTATAACATGGATCAGCTAAAAAGTTGAATGATAATTGTGAAAGGGAAATTTTCTTGTTATCTTAATCATATCGTAGCTCAAAGGAATCGCTTGGAGCTATAGACTTGTAACTTTCACTCCACCATCGTTTTTACTCTTATTTTCTTGTATATGTATGCAAGATATTCCTTTGACCCAAAGACAGCGGATGCTAATCGAGGGGGTTAATTCTACTTTCACTAAATTAAATTTAACTAAATTAAATTACACTGGAATAATACAGAAATCAAAAAAATAAAAAGAGGAAAATGAGAGACGTTCATTTTGAAGGAGTTAAATTACATTTGTGAAGAGAAATTTTCATCGTTCTCTAAAAATGACGTAGCATTAAAGTTGGAGACTTAGTTTTCATAGTTTCCTGAGTTGTATGGACAGTAAATTATTTTTATTACGCATTTAATTTAGTCCAAAACTTTGCCAGTAAAAGCAAGAACAAATTCCCCAGCCACCTCCTCCCTCTCATCCCCAAAATAGGTTTAATGTGATTAAAGTTCGCATGGAATCAAGAGTGACAGTAATTTCTTAGCGTATTAGGTGACAAGGATTTATGCTTCCTCTTATCAAATATTTGTATTACCAACTCTGCGTGCTCCTTAATAATATTTAACAAGACGTACAATATCAAGTTACGGGGTCTGAAAATAACAATCTTACCTTCACATATAGAACCATTCCCAATATAGGTAGGATTGCAAGAGCAGTTGTATGAGCCTTGGGTATTAACGCAAGAGGCATTTAGATGGCAGTCGTTCATTTTGACGCCATAAACCTCACTACACTCGTCAATGTCTAAAAGAGAACGTTCTCAGTTTAGAGATATGGTAAATATTTTAAGTTAACAAGTTAAACCGAGTTATATTTAGTACCCTTTACACTTTTAGTATCAGCAATGAAGTAAGCGTCCAGTGTGGGGACAGTGCAAGAAAGACGGAAATTTTTTAGGTTAGTATTCTTGTTAAGGAATACATATGCCACACCCTTTTTCTACAGCGTAAACCAAAATTCTTGATGCTTCTGTTCGAGAAGCAAGCTCAACATTAATTTTCCTTTCCTATATAAATGTATTTCAGTCACCAAACTTAGTTTTCTTACAACTGCTTCTCGTGTCTCATTTCAGTACTGATAGACATAATATGGAGTTCAATACATACATAGGCACTGGATGTATCGCATTCACAGGACTGGATTTGGCCATGAGAATAACGATTCTCCGCGTAAATGTTGTTCATTTTTGGATATCACTCCACTTGCAATGTCCGAAGTTTTAAATTACATTGCACCTTTCCATGTATGGAAATTTTGGGCAGGCCCTGGATATTCTTAAAAGTAGCATTGTATGATGCTAAGTCTAATATACCTTGGCATGACTGTCCGTCCCCAGTGTATCCTTCCTTACAAGTGCACTTGTGAGAGCCGTCAGTGTTGATACAATTCGCAGTCACGTTACAAGCATGGCTTCCATTAAGGCACTTATTGATATCTAGTAGTACAAATGATAGAGATATAGAATACTTCATGGAAAGTCTGTCTGGATAATATTTACGCATGAGAGCGTGGTATCGGAAATCGAGGGAGTGAGCACAGCAAACGAGTAAGATTTTTTACATACCATACGGACCGACATTACATGATGCATTTGGTTTACTATCTAGTTTTTATTAAAGAGAATAAATTCCCCTTTAATGACAATTGTTAAACAGACTTAAGTCAATAGTTTATAAATCGATCATGAAAGATGCAAACCATATAAATTTCCCTCACAGCTAGCAAAAACTAACAAACTGATACCTCTCAATACTTGAAACAAAGCATGTTAAGCCTGAGGGTTCATAATCTTGTCTGTTTTTCAGTCGAAAAGAGTGAATAAACTCCGCAAGATACATGTTTAGTTCCTCAGGCGATATTTTGTGTACTTCAATAATTGAAATAGTAGAAATTTTCAATGTGTGCTTCGGCGCTTATTGAAAATTTCTACTATTTCAAGGAGGGGGAGGGGGCACTTATTTGTAGGGTGGGCGCTTTGTCGATTAGTCGAGAGGGGCGCTTTGTCGATTAGTCGAGAGGGGCGCTTCTTAAGTCACCTCAGCAATAGGATATAAAATCAAAATAATAGATGATACATAAAAAATAATCTGCAAGCACATGAAGATAGAAAAATCCGAAATGGAAAATAAATTTATTCTGCTGTACCGACTGCGCTGTCGTTGAAAGTTGAAAAGTTACCAAAAAAAAAGTGTGGCAGCAGAAACAGACTTTCCTCGTATCTACACTATTAAGAAAAAGTGAGGGAGGAGAAGGGTGGGGTTATCTGACCGTGGCTGCATATTCGAGAAAAATATTCCAAGTAATGGTGAAATGATAAATCTCATATTCCATGGTTTATCATATCTTACCAGAAGAAATTTTGCTCGTTGCTCAAAATTATTCTGTTTCCTTCCGCAAAAATACCGAGCAACTTGTAAAATATCCGCGCGTATTATATTTTAAAACATCGAAAAATGTGAATGTATGCATATGATGAGACTTAGTGCAGTTCGCATTTATGTCACATACATAGCTTCCAGTGCTGCACTCGTCGATGCCTGGGGACACGAGTAATGTATGCATATGATGAAACTTGTTATGGATGTCCTCGACATCACGTATCGCTGTTCTATTCTACATTGGCAAGACTGTCCATTTATAATGTATCCTTCCTTACAGATGCAATTATATGAACCATTAGTGTTGGTAGAGTTAGCATTAAAATCACATACATGGCTATCATCGTTGCATTCATCAATATCTATGAACACAATCTGTTTTCAAGGTTAACTACCCAGAGAAACAAATGTTAACCAGTTTTTTGGATAACAAGCCAATTATTTGCGATGAACAGTTATTCTGCTTTTTTTTCTAAGTCTAATCTAATTTTACCTCGGCATGACTCTCCTTTTCCAGTGTATCCTTCCTTACAGGTGCAGCTATGGGAGCCATCGGTGTTGGTGCAATGCGCATTTACGTCACAATCATGGCTTCCTTTGCTGCATTCGTCGATATCTAGCAGCGTTGGTGATGTATAAAAGTAATTTAATAGAAATACGATAGTGGTGCGTGAAAACAGGCCTCTAAAATGTGGGACAATTTTCATGGGCGATGTTACGGGAAAATTTACTGATTTTCCCGTATGTGTTATTCGGAACATATTTATTCGTAAACTTTTACATTTAACCATTTCAAGTCCTTTCATTTCAATAAATCAAAAACATGCATAAAAACCACAGTAGCTTTTGAATAGATTTTTGTTGTTACTCGCTTTCATCATATGCACCTGGTTGTCGGCACTTTTGTTATTTATTACATAGTTTTTTTTTAGGGTAAATATAAGTGTTAATGGTCTTTCTGGAAACATTGGTTTTCATGGTAGATAGCAGCTGAGTTTAAACGCGTAAATCTAATTTCTTTTCATGCAATGGTTTCCAAACCAATCTTGTATAAATAAGCAGAAACTTTTAATTGCTTTTTCGTTTTTTATTTCCTGAGCTGCGCTACTGCAATTAAGATAGGTATTGTTTCCTATACCAGAGCTGTAAAATCGCACCTAGGTTTCCTACGTTAATGGCCTAGAGTTTATTGCATCCGTCTTTTTTAATTTTGAGATTTTTTCCGTCGTAGAAACAGATGGAATAATTAAGTAGTTTTCCTTTAACTTCAAAGAGACTTTTTTCCGCTCCTTTGTGTCCTTATTCAAATATTGCGATTTGTGTAACAATAGCACTTCGCACCAGTTACTTCTTAAGCAAGTACCTTGTACAGCTTTGATGATTACAAACTAGAGTATGCTAGAGGTCATGTCGCTTGTTGGCCTGACCTAGAATAAAGTACTGTGGAACCAAAGATTGTCTTATCCTTGACGTCCGTATAAGCTCGCTCGAAGTAGATCTCCGTGTACCAGGAAATCGTGACGAGTTTCCGTTCTCGCTGCCAAGTCGTCTCTACAGAGTTAGTTCCCCCAGTTGTTATTGTGCCGTCCGCGAAGATTCAGTCCTCCAGTTTTCCAGTTAGCGGGCGAAAACCTATCGTCACAGTGGTGGTTACGCCGGGCACTTCTTGGAGCTTCCAGGACGTTATCAAGGTCAGAGAAGACGCCAAATCCAGTTTCACGCCAGCCGATGTAATCCCTTGAGCGCCGACAAGAAAGAACCGCTCAAGTTACGTGAGTACCAGAAATTTCCTTTGTCTCTTTATGAAGTCCGTGAAGAGAGTTTTTACGAAGAGTTTGCCGCGTTATAATTTAAGAAGTAGGAAATCAGCCGTTCCCGTTGTCAGAAATAGTACGCCAAAAGTAAATAGAGAAGTGCAAGCTTCTTTGTCTGAAGAAGAAAATTGTACATTGTCGTTTGAATTGCCATTTCACCCGAGTTCCTTGCCGCCCACGGCCCACGTACCCAGTTCCAGTGAAGGAAACCAGCCCACTCCGTCTAGCGGCCTTCCGAGATTTTCCACCGCATTTTCCGATCAGAATCCAGCCAACAGAACGAATACCGAAGCGATAGATATTAGTATTGATCCGTGTGAAGGCCCATCCATTGTTCAGCAAAGTTTACCAGAGCCAACGACCTCCTTTGTTCCGCGTCAAGAGAGCGACGCAAGTCCATCCGAAGATTTCATCCCACAGCAGTCCAGTCAGTCACATCACGGTCCCCGAACCGATTTAGAAGTTGAGGAAACGAGCGATTCCGAGGTCGACGAATCCCTAGAAAGAAGATTTTTCCAGTTAATTAATTCACCAGCGGATTTTGACGCGTTGGTGCGAAAAAGCATAAATTACACAGAACCAAAACAAACAGCACCGCAAAGAAGATTTCGCTGCGAGTCAAGTTCCAGCGACAGTACCGAAGAGGAAGGTTCCGAAGATTCTGCGGCATATAGTGAAGAATTATCAGCAGACGAACGTTCCAAAGATAACGAACCCCAAATGGATAGAGAACTAATCGAGACCTTGGGAAAGATAGCGCAGCGGTTAGGATCTAAGGACATAAACATTTCAAAATTTTACGGATATGACCGTGAAGATATCGACCAATGGTTGGAAGAATTTGATTATCAATTAGAAGCGCGGGATATTTCTCCCGAGAGCAAAGCAGCCTTAACACAGCTTACCATACACATTGCCGGGCCAGCACAAGAGTATATTCGAACACTTCCCGCTGATCAACGAGCGACCCTTGGCTTAGTCAAGGATGCCTTGAAGCGCTGCTATTCCCATCGAAATCGTGAATGGGTACAAAGGCAGCAGATAGCCCAACGACGGCAGAAACCAACAGAGCCACTTGGAGATTATGTGAGCGATGTGGTATCAAAGCTTCACAAATTGGATATGCAGGAGAACACTCGAGTGTATCATTTCATAGAAGGACTAAAACCAGAACTACAGATGGAGGTTCTGAAAGCAAAGCCGAAAACTCTCTCAGAGGCTGTTGAAACCGCTAGGGAGTTCGACGCTCTCCTTGTACGTGGTAATAAGTCCACACCAAGTGAACACACTACAGAGCAGGGTCTCATCAACAAGCTCGGAGAGCTAGTCAGCAAACTGGCTGGCAATTCTGGAACAAGTACCTCCATAGGAAAGCAACCAAACCCAGAACATCCGATAGTCGCCAGGATGGAATCAATAATAACTAGAGCTGGAAACACACCTCACCATTCTGAGAGCCAAGAGTCGCGTAACCTTCTGCGCGAAATCCGTGAAATAAAGCAGAGCCTTATGGGAGAGATACAGGAACTTGACCGCCGAGTAGACGCTCGAATAAATGGCTTAGCCAGGCGAAATCAAAATAGCCGCGAAGAACCACCAAGACAGCGAACACGAGAGGGACGACCCATTTGTTACTCTTGTGGACGAGTTGGCCATGTGCAGCAAAATTGTAACCAGAGGTCTCCACGCGAACCCAATCAGAATTTCGAGTGGTACCAGCCAAACTGCCAACGACGCCAAGAAAGAGGAAATTATCCTCCCCGCTCCGGTTATAATCAGCCACAACTAAGGGATGACTCACCTTCTCGAAATCCAAGAAGCTCTCACTTAGCCGCCATAGATAGCCAAGGTCATGAAAACGATAAAATGGCCCCACTAGGACAAAATCACCACACGTTTCTACAGTGCGAACACGGGTTCCTGGGAAAGGACTCCAGTGAACACGACGCTCAAGCCCATGAAGAATTGTACCAACAGTACCAAAACGGGTCAGAATTTTACCTAGCGACAGCCAGATATGATGAAGTAGCAGAAAACAAGCTCACGAGCGCGCTTCTGCCAGCTCTAAAAAACCAACTGAGCGTTTGTCAACAAACCGTAGAGGACGCTTATGCAAATGATGGAATTTATGGAAACACATCCGCTGACCACTCTGAGAATGACCTACCGGGAGGTCTGGTGACGAAAACCGACGCAGAT